GCCTGGACCAGATGTTTTTTTGGGTGTTTTTTTTTTTCTTTTTTCTTTTTTTTTTTTACCTCTTTGGGCCTGTAGCTTTGCTGCCAGCTGTTGTTGCGTGACGGGAAGTGTTCGATACAAGAAGGAATTGGATTTTAAAGATTCCTTAATCAGATTCAGGTGTTAATAGATGAAGCCTATCCTTATGTCCAAAGGTATTTAAAGGTGTTTATGAGTTAATGTTGAAACTATATTAAATTATTCTTCTTCATTGTATGTCCTGAGTGAAATTGTTTGGCCAGTTTAAATTCTGATGTAAATTCAGTTGTTGTAAATATGTAATGCTTTGTATTTACTGATTTAGATCTTGGGTATTTTGAGCATGTTTTCTTAAGAGAATGAAAATATCCAGCATTGTTGCGGCTTTTGACAATGCTAAAAGTCTGTTTTTACAATAGTTTTCTGTATTATTCAGAGCTAATTTGGTTTTACCTGTAATTTCTCTCTCTCTCTCTCTCCCTCTCTCTCTCTCTCTCTCTCTCTCTCTCTATCTCCATACAATTCAACTTTCTAATAAATAAAACAAAACATCTTTCAAGGTATTTTGTGACAAATCATAAACAGATCCAGTTTTCATGAATCAAAGACAAACAAACAAACAAACAAACAAGAAACATCATCATTATGCTTTCTATGTATTACTTGATATTAACAGCAGTAAAGCCACTGTTAGGTAGATCATTTAAAACGGTGTGCTGTTGTGTTTAAGGGAGCTTTCACACTGTAGTTTGGTTCATTTGATCCCATTTGTGTTCACACTGACTTTTTACAACAGAACCAAGAGGAGTAAACAAAAAGGCATATAGACAGGTAACTCACTGATTGGACAGTCTTTCATCTTCATCTTTCATCTGCATCATCGGTGCTACATGCAACTATGTGGGGAAATCAAATTCTGGTAACTGACAACAAGTTGTGCATTTATTGCTTCTTTTGTGTTTATTCACTGGCGTCACAAAGAGCTCATGAAGAAATAACTGAGCGTTATTAGTATTATTAGACTGCATATTGACTGCATGTTATGAAGAAGTTGATGTCTTGTACAGCAGTTAAACTGGAAGGATTACTGCACCACAATTCGATTGACAACTTTCACACAAGGCCAAATGAGTAGTACTACAGTAAATGGGAAAGCTCACCAAAGTTTGCTTTAACCAAACCATTCAGGTTATATGTGGATAAACTCGTAAATGGAGAAAATAGATTGGCTCCTCAGTGTGGGACTGCCTGTCCTTGCTTATTCAATGAATACCAAGATGAGGCATCATTACTGGGTGTGAAATTGTAAATGAACAAGCTGATATTTGGACATTTTTTCCCCTGCTGTATGCTAAGCTGGCTTTTTCCAGCGCTTCAGCCTTGTTGGATGATGTTACATCAGGAGTATTTCATTCAAGTCTCTGAAATCTCTCCATTCGTGCAAAAAACGCCTTAGTCTTTCTGTTGGTTGGGTTTTTACTGAATTAACGGCTTGGGAAATATGTATCTGTTTATGAATGACCCAGTAGAGACTGTAATAAATCAGCAGTCAGTTATTATAACAACATCTGTGCTTACTCTGTCAGCCCTCCACATTCTCACCACAGGTTTACAAGAAATTTAAACTGTATAGTTAATGATCAGACTTAATGTTCTTGTGCGTTCTGAATCCTCCTTACATCTCATCTGTACGTCTTTAATTAATGCAGGCTATAAAAATTCTTGAGGGTCACCATACTTAGGACATTCAAGGATACAAAGTGTATCCACAATATGGCCTGTAATAAAATTGCTGAATATGGTTTTTCTAGTTAAGTGTTTTTTAAAAAGCCTGCTCTCTGCAAGTGCAGTAGTAAGGTCCATCACAAGTAAATGCATAAGATTGAATCCTCATGCAGTGTTGGAAGTAGTGACCGGGACAAAGCGAGACAGGATGATAATTTCCCTCACGGGCCTCCCTCTAGTGCAGCCATCTTTCATCTAAAGCTTTGTTACGTTCACTAGCCCACCCTTTTCCTCTGGAACGGACCCAAAATGTAACCAAACATGAATATATCACGTCGGGTCGTCCAACGGTGAAATTCTCTACTTAGTTTCTACAAATCTATATTAGTTCACTATTATTTGTTTCATGAGAAACTTATTAAAACCCATCTGATGTTCACCAGCATTACAACAGTACAACGGTAACCGTAACTGGTGCTTTGGATATTTAGCCTACCCTCAATGATTTAAATGGTGAAGATTTATTAGTAACACCTCTTTGTAACAGTGGATAATTCAACAGCACCGCAAACTACATCCTTTGATATTACCATAAAGCTGAATCCACACCTCTCTGAAACAGCCGAACATTATAGCCTTCATGACTGTACATACTAAACCTAATAAACTGACAACTGAGTATATGTTCACCAGCCAGTCTCAAACTTTGTCTGCATGCAGTTTGGTAGAGTTATCAGAGCTTTTTAGCTGCTTGCTGCTGCTGCTGGAGACATGGTCATTTGTGAGTAATGTAAATGTGTGGCTCTGCCAAACAGTGAGCTAAAAGAGGCCAAAAAGCTTGGTAGAGCTGCGAGTATAGAGTTTAGAGTTAATTCATGGATCCATCACTGCAAGGCCCTTGACACTAATTTGGTTCAGTGTGAAAATAAAACGATTGTGATTATTGCAGCATTAAACAGCATGGCTCTCCTTTCTTTTTTTGAACATCTTTGACACAGAGTACTCAGCAGAAGAGCTGCATCGGTTCTCCTAATTCATTATCTTTACATTATAGCCAGTGCATTCGTGTTTTCTTTCGTGTCAGTGAGTAATCTTATTGTGCCGGCTGTCTGTGCAAGGAGAAGAGAGGGGACCCTTGAGCCCTGGTAAGAGATGGTAATCAGACGAGATGACAGCCAGTGGCCCAGAGAGCAAACACTGACCATTGTTACATTCAGCGTGTGAAGGGCCTCAGTTGGGCTACAAAATGTCACACTGGTGTTGTCACACTAAGAAAATTTAGACCCATGCGCTGTTAGTAAAACATGTAGCAGTCACCATTAGTAGTTTAGTCAGTAACACGAGTATGAATGTGAATGATAACCTAGGCAAATGATGAAGTGAGGCAAATGAAGTATACATTTTTTCCATAAAGACACTGAAGAAGAGGAAATGAATCTGCCGTGTGCAATCAGTAAAACACCATGTTGTCAGGATGAAACTCATCTTGAACTTTGCCCACTGGAGCGTGAGTTCTGGTCAGAGATATGTCACTGACTTTCTGGTTAAGTATATAATTAGATTTACGAGAAGTTTCTGACTAAGAATTCATTGGCAGTATGAAAATACATGTATAGTAATACTGCAAAATTAGCACCTACAGTGTCTACAAAATGTGAATTTTATCACATCTCAAATTGGCCATGGTTGTCATTTGTGGTACCTTCAAATATCATAACACATTTTCATCATGTCTTTGTAACACTGAAGAGCTCTGTATGAAATGAATAACTTTACTGATGCATAGAGAGAACCAGTTCAGCTGCATTAAACTTGAATTGAATTGAACTTTAGTTGAATTGAATTAATAGCTATAGTCTTTATGTGGAGCTTCTTGCTGTGCTACACGTTTTGAATCAGAGAACAAGTTGAACAAGTTTTGATCTGTGATTACATGCAGGCTTGCTTTTTGCTGCGCATATCCTACTTCTGCTTTTGTTGCAGTTGTTCATTTCAGTCGTGTGAATTCTGCTTCTTCAATTAAATGCTAAAGCTTGCTGTGTGGGGGCACCTTAGTACATATCATTTGTTAAATTTTAAGGTTAAAAATATGTTTGATATTGAAAAGTTTTGTTTGCTGCTTGCTATGTTGTTATTTTCCTGAGCATACACAATTTCTTTCAACTTGATATTTTTTTATATTTGAAGTTGAAAATGAACAAACGGTATTGCATTTTACAGAGACAGATGGAATTACAACAGGGACAATCAATAACTTGGAGAATGTTGATGCTTTACCTGCTCTGCAATTATGTTTTGTTTGCGTGGACTTTGGCTGTTACTGCAACACAATATTGTCTCATACAGCAGGAACAATTGAGGCATCAAATATTTTTTACTGACTATATCACATAAATTAGATTGTAAAGATCAGTTATTATATTTTTGAACATATGCCAGATGGTCTACCTTCGCAGTTTAGTTGGAGTTATTGATTTTATTTGGTTTGTTTTGTTATTCTGTTCTGTTTGACTTCTGAAACACAGAGGTTTTCTTTAACTTAAAAAATTAGTTAAATTAAGTTTCAGTGCTCAGCTGTTTGGAAGTAGCCTGGCATACATCAATGCCAAATCATGAAGCTGTAACTTCCTTCTTTTTTATGTAGAGGTATATAAAAGAATTCTTATTTTGGGCTACGATTCATGTAAATAAATGACACCATTAAAAATAATTTTTGTGTCATGAAGCGTAATCCTTGAGGATATTAATGAGTCATTTTTCCTTTTCATTTCCAAATGGGAAAAACATATTTAAGTTGTAAAATCATATCCCTGTCATGAAGGGAGATAATGTGGCATTACTTTGACTGTTATAGTACTTACTTGAGTGACATGTTAATCAGACCTTAGATATAACGTAAGTCTTTGCCAACATTTATGCAGGTCACCTCTGAAGAATGAAAGTGGATTTCATGATACTGACCTCTGACTGTGGTTGTGAGGCCCTTTCCTGTTGAATACAACCACAGAGACACTGCTTAGGCCTGTGTAGTTAATGACCAGATCCTTGTCTTTGTGATTCAGTTGTTCACAACTTCTTCATTCTGTGTGTGTGTGTGTGTGTGTGTGTGTGTGTGTGTGTGTGTGTGTGTGTGTGTGTGTGTGTGTGAGAGAGAGAGAGAGAGAGAGGTACAGAGAATGTAGTAGTACAGCATGTACATTCAACTATATGAGTAATCTCGACTTGCAGACTGAGTTGTGAATCTCTGTCTCTGACAGGTATGGATGAGCGGACCAACCAAGCGTCTTGGGCCCCAGGTGGCGAGTCCAGCCCTTCCTACGAGTCCGCCCGGGTAAGATGACCGACAGCTTACCACCTCTTAAATGACCTTTCTGCTCCACAGCGCATCATTTAACACATTACATTCAACATCATTACATCAAAATGGTACATTCACAATGCCGTGTTGTATGACCTGTAATGGACATATTTCTCTGTGACAGAAAGTAGGGCTTAATATACTGATGGCTGTTTTTTTTTTTTTGTCGATCTGAGTTTGTTGTGCAGATGGTATGCAAAGCTAGTTTCATGGATCTGATATAGCCTGCCAAATGTCAAAAAATAAAAGAGAGAACAAGTGCCCATCCCAGTTTCTCAGAGCAAAAGGCGACATCTTCAGATGTCTTGTTTTGTACAATTTTCAATCCAAAGATATTTAATTTACAATGATATAAAACAGAGAAACAAAGCAAATCCCCACATTTAACAAACTGGATTCAGAGAATGCTCTGTGTTGTTGCTGGGAAAAGTTACAAAGTGATCAAAATAGCTGCCACTTAAATTTCTATGGATCAAGCGATGATGTGATTAATCAAGTAATCGATGTAGCTCTAATTACCTCTACCAAGGAGGTTCTGTTTTCACCCATGTTTGTTTATTTGCCATCAGGATTAGGCAAAAAGTGCTGATCCAATTTGCACTGATGTTGGTGGAAGAATGGGGCCTGGGCCACGGAAGAACTCATTAGGTTTGGGGGAAATTCGGATAATTTATTGTAATGTATTTACAGTAAATTTTATTTGTCACTGAAAATGGCAACCAGTTACTATTTGACTGAATGCTGGGAAACATGACTCCTGCCTCTGTCCTGAAGCAGCAAGGAGTAAATTGAACCAAAATGAACTAATTCATCCACAGCCATATTTTCAAAAGTAGCCTATTTAAAAAAACTAAATTTCCTCTGCGAGAATTACACAAATTTAAACTGTTTTCTGTAGTACATCCAAATACTCTAGGACTGATATGAAGCTGCTTTATTATTCTGCACTGTGCAAGGAAGGTCAGTCTTCTGTGCTTCTGAGCAATTCAATACTTCAGACTGTATAATGACATTTTGTTTACGATCACAGATCTACACAGAAGAAGAAAATGAGAATTTCATTTTAAAAATGATCATTAGTTCGCTTGAAGCAGTGTAAATTATTGACATTAACTTAGATATTTGAGTTAGATATTCATTGTAATCACTGCAGCCTGATTTTAGTGTATTGCTTTTTGTAAGGGGAAGTCATGCTCAAAATAATTTCAAGTGTGATGCATTTGTATAATAATAACATAATAATGGGTAGCATTGCATGTTTAAACTGTACTTCCATTGTTTAGTCGAAGTGTGAGCAAGTGTGAACAGCTCTTCCCCTGTTTGTTTGTCTCTCACACATTGGTTGTTCTAGATGCCCTGTATGAATTTCATTTAATGTCAATCTCCTGTCACTTTCTATTAGAATTCAGTTAAATGTCAGAGCCACTCGGGCTGCGTTACCTTGTTTATTTCTCTGTGCCCTTCCCGAATGAACATCTACAGGCTATGGTAACATAGGCAGCTTGATTTGAATTATAAGACAGAGACGCTTGAGATATCTTTGCTCCAGGTGCATATAAATGAGTGTTTCTGACATTGCAAGGCACAGCATCAGCCAGCAGACAGCTGTTTGCGCCTCCATAAGGCGTGCACTCAAACACTCATATGCCATATTCTCCACACTCACACACAGCTGCGTACACACCTTATATTGATACAGACTTGATTTATATAGCGTATAAAATTATATCCTATCTATCCTGCTTCAAGAAGTGAGTGACATTTCTTATGAACCTCAGTGGTCTATAAAACTCTGTTAAATGATTTCAGTTTTTTCAATGAAAAATGCATTTTACGACTGTTTTATAATTCACATCACAGTTATGACCGAGGGCTGTAATAATGGTAATAATATAATAACTACATAACAGAGAGCTTATTAGAAATGTGTTTTTTTAAAATAAAGTGCTTAATCTTTAAATGAAATGGACAGTATATCTTCCCCTTTTCCTCTTAATTCAAATCTTACCATATTCTCTTTCTTTCCCTCTTAACCACTCCCCTACTTTTCCCACTTATTTCTCCAACTCTCGTCTCGTCTTTCTCCTGTGTGAAGCTCTCTTACTGACTCAAGTCTCAATGAGTAGCATCAAGTGACCAGTGCCATAAAGGCTAGAAAAGCTGTGCTGGTTACAATAGAAACACTCAGTCAAAATTGAATCATTGTCAATAATTTATTGGATCTGGTTCCAGATCCAGACTGCCGTCCAACTATTGGTGACCTCCAATATAGAGCCAGTTTATTACCAGCTGCAGAAGTGGGGCTGATATTGTTTTCACCTTGTGAGTCTGAGTCTGAGTGGGTGTGTGTCATCATGGCAAAATGTGGTCCTGGAGATACCTACTGTAGCGAGAACTACCACAGAGGTTTGACTTGCCGTTACAACGGCCAGGACCACTAACAAACCAAGTGACATCAATGGCCTTGATAATGACGCCACTAAGGTTAAATATCTGGAACTTCTCACCAGACGCTCAGAAATGAAGAGACCTCTTTGATGAGAGCTGAAATGTTTTATCTACAACCAAGTCGAGTTGCCCTCAAGTCAACCCTTCTAGGATTTGTTTCTAAATGTTTGCAGAGTTTTTTTTTGGTTCCTAAGATTTTAAGACGTCTCCTGCGCTGTCAAGACCCTAATTCTACTTTTCCTTGGTTTTTAAAGGCAGGAGTAACAACAACATTGAGCTGTAGAACTGACTCAAGTGATATTCTTTTCTGAGGTGAAACCTTGCCCATGGAAGATTAAATGTGTTTCAGAGCGACAAGTTTCAACTCATTACTTTGTTGAACAAGAATTTTATAATTGATTAAAGTGAGAACTATCTTCTGAAATTTCCTAATGTACGCTGTATTCACAGTGTCTGTCCAAGGCTCTTGGAAGAAATCCTCAGTGCTTCATCTTTCAGTCAGTTACAAAGGGAATTCAGCGTTGTCCCTGAGCTTGTTTGAGCTGGTGCGCTACGAGTGTGTGATCAGTCGACTGTGAACACTCCCGAGCCCTGCCGTGCTGACCTTGGCTCCCAGCCAGCCGCTGTATCCTGGGCAGCTGTGGCTGTAGGCTGGCGGTCTGACAGTCAGGGCTGTGCCCACCGCCACCGCACAACAACCCCCACTTCCCCAGTGCCCTGCCCCGACTTGATACTCGACCCCACACACATCCATCATGACCATATCATCACTTCCCAAGCTGCCACATGCAGCCACACGTTCACCTGGGATGCAGCACAGAGTGTGGAAGAGATGACTTTTTAAATGCTGTGGCGAGTGATTGGGGGACAAGGTGTGATCTCAGGTCTGCATGCTGCCACAGTGATCTGACAGTTATTTAGCCAGTAGTGCTAATGTAGCCCCGTGGCAGAGATGACAGCGTGTGTTAGTGTCTTGGATAGATGTAGGCCACCAGTGTTTGGGAATGATGAAGGATCTGTGATTGATGATCTAACGATCCCATAGGAGAAAACACAGTGTGGTTGCATTGACACACAAACGTGCACAGAGAGCCTGGATTGACCATTATCCCCCCACCTCCTTTTCCTGCTCTGCTAACCTACCCTGCTAGCCTTTTCCTGCTCCACAGTGGTAGTTGTAACGATCAAAGAAGACCTGAAATGTTCATTACCACCAGGTGCTTTCTAAGATTCATTTTAAAGAACATTGTTTGACATTTTGGGAAATATCTAAAGCCCTTTCTGGAAAAGACTTAGATGATAAGATCACTACCACTCTCACATCTGTCCATTAATTTGATGGCTATAGTCAGTGGGAAAGCTCTAAAGCTCTCTAACTAACACGTTGTATGTAGTTTGTTTAATCCGTACACAAACTCAAGTGTAAAAACAACAGTTTTAATTTTGCAGATTTTGTACCAGTCTGTTTCTTATTATTTCTTTTTACACTTATATTATAATTTTAATTATAATAAGATATTATAATAAGATATTTATACAGATTAAACTGAGATTTAGGGGTGCTGGTAGGTGTTTCTTTATCACTGGACAGAGCCCGGAAAGCTGTTTCCCCCTTCCACGCTTTATGCTAAACTAAGCTAACATAATAATTTAATGGACAATATGAGAGGGTCAAAACCTCTCATCTAACCACTGCCAGAAAGTGAGTAAGTCCCACAATGTTGAACTATTCTTTTAAAGTGTTTTCCTTGTCTGCTGTAGAAGAGAGGAAATGATTTTTGCTTGCTGAGGTTAGCTGTGTGTAAGTCCATGTGTGTCTGTGTGTGTGTGTGTGTGTGTGTGTGTGTGTTAGTTTGCTAGAGCTTCTCACGGGGCCGCTGTTGTTATTGAGTCTGTTCATGGTGTGATTAACAGTGTGTGCGGCCTGGCAGAAGCACAATAGGAAATCTCTGAGGATTCCCTCGACACAGCACAGCACTCCACTGCCTTTGATATTACTCCATCACCATCCACTCACAAAAAAAGATGGATAATAAGATTTACTTTTTTTTTTTTTACTGTATGTTGAATGCAAAGGGTATGAGTTGGTGAAAATAGCTCTATAGAAATGCAAGCCCACTGCTGCTCAGTCCCTCTGGTGGGAGTTAATGTAGTTTGGGGAGCTGTATTTGACTGGAGCACAGGAGGATTTTCACAGGGCTTGGGATTAGCACTGTAACGGAATATCTTTTATTACATGGGACCCCGAGTTTTCAAAAACCATACTGTGACCGATATTTAGACCTAAGCCCCGGAAGCTGATAAGTGTCATGAAAAGGCACTGTTAAGCTGCAGGAGAAAAAGGCAATTTTTTTAAGCTGCAGGTACCTGGGAATGATGTAGGATCGCATCTCTCTGTTTCTTCCCCTTGTATTAAACAACATTTTCTTATGAGCTACAAGCATGAAATAGTGTATTAACCTGTTATCATATAGCTAAACTGGTAGAACCAAAAAGAAAACTTTAAAATGAATATTTAGGGTTTAGATGTTTTCTAGATGTATTGTAAGAAAGACAAAGCAAAGGTTCCTACAGGTCCAGCTGGTTTCTATGAGCTAAGCAATTGACACAAACTTGCAAATGTTTACAGCTCTTATCTGTTTATTGGTGATGGTAAGTTGGCATATGAAGTTGATGTGTGTAACGATATATGGCAAATACTTGGGTTTAGAATGTATTATGGATTTCTGATCCATTAATGTGTACCACCAGTTACAGATATAGAGATCTGTTTTTCTGCTCTGTCTCTTTAATTTTTTGGGGCAATTATGTACAAGAGGGCAGGCAGTTCATTGGCATAACCGACCAGTTGTGCTCTCCTCTTACTAATTAGTGGTATACCATAGCACTCAATTAGTGAAGTTGCCCAATAATGTGCTTAATATTCTGATCTCTCCCCCCAGGGTTTTGCAGACAGCCCTCATTACGGTGATCATTTGAGTGACAGTCGATTAGTGCCCCATGAAGGATTGTCTCCGACACCTTTTATGAACTCGAACATAATGGGTAAGTAAATGATTGTCTTCAACTCACCCGTCACATGCCCTTTGGTAGTGGAAAGACGTCCTGTAAAATAAATGGCCTGATTGAGGTTGAGGCACATTTTGCATCTGGAGGTAGCACTACTGCAAGTCTTGCCAGGCTACAGGGCTATTTTTTTTTCCATCTCCTGCTGTCTTTATTTCCTCCCTTAATCCCCCTCCCCTCTCTGTATCTCCCTCTTCCTCCTCCTGTGATGACCCTCCCCCAGGCTAGAAGTCACGCCATCAGTATAGCTTTCCGTCATAAGAAGCTGTCTCCTAGACATCAAAACTGCCCTCAGCAACTTCCATTGGCAGCAGGGCTTTGTGTGTTTTGGGTGTGAGGTTAAACAGACAGTTGTACCAAAGACCCTCTCGCTGAAAGATCAGACATTTTGAATTTAATGTAGATTATTGAATGTTACTTTTTTTTTTTGCGGTCTTTGCCTTTGGGTTTATCATATAATCCTCATCATTTCATTTGTTTGCTGATATGAATAGGAAGATTTCTCTTTCCACGTTTTATATTTAACTTTGAGAACAGTGACTCCCTTAAATTACAGTGTTTCTTAGATCACTGGTTCTTGACCTTTCTGGTCTGATGTATCTCCACAACCCTATCGGATTATTTCTGTCACCCCATTATCAATAAACTGTTTGTTATTTAAGATTAACAATTATATCAAAGTGAGTTTGTTACTCAATTTTGTTATACATGGCTTCTGTATTCAGTACTGTAGTTTTAGTCAAGTTTGCATTTAAACTTCCACTTGCAGTGACAGAAGCTGGACGTTTCAGCTGTTCATGCATTAAAATCTCTTTGGACTCCTCTGCTCGCTTAAAAGTTTTCACTGCAGCGTTCAGGTGTAACAACTGAACCAGGCCTGTGGAGGCATGTCCTGTGTCACTTTATTGGTTTTGTTACAATAAACATAGTGTCCCGTCCGTCCGTCCGTCCCATTATTATAAACATGATATCTCAGTAACGCTGTGCGAGAGTTTCTTCAAATTTGATGCATGCGTTCACTTGGACTCAAGGATGAACTAATTAGAATTTGGTGGTCAAAGGTCAAGGTCACTGTGACCTCAAAAACATGTTTTTGGCCATGAAGCTAATTATTACATAATTTAATACAAATATCAAATAGGATAAAATGATGAAGTGATGACATTTTATATTCAAATGGTCAAAGATGAACTTGGTGGGTGGAGGCATGCAAGCGCGAGGCGGTAATTCTAGCTATTATTGTATTTTATTTTCCTCCTAAACACAAATATGTGGCTGTATTTATTTCTACCAAATTATAATTTGTATTTTGATAATGATCACAAAAAATACCCCCTTCTGCAACTACATACTCTATTACTGACTTGCAATATGTTCTCCCATTATAACAATTAAAGGCTGTATGTTATCCAGCTCTTTGGCCTGGCATCATTGTGATGTGTAACCACTCGACAGTTTTATGGCTAACTACATCTCAGCTCATTATGTAATGGCCCTGGAGACTGGTTTCCAAGCAAAGCGATTAGTTCACAAATGACTGCCGCTGAATTGAAACAAAATGTTATCATTCTTGTAATTGATCACATGACTGCTTCACATACACTGGATATCTCGCCGCACTTCAGTTGCGTCTGTAATTATACTTATGAGCTGCCTAATATGGATGTGATCTGATGCAGTGATACGTCAGATTTAGACGGTATGACTGTAAACTGGAATTGCCTGTGCTTATCTCATGCCTGGAATTCAAGATGAGTATGGTTTTATTAAACTGTTTTTCCACAGTAATATTTGGGACTTACATGGATTTATGGAGTTTTCAGCACCGCCATTAAATCATGTCTGGAGGGTTATTACTTATCAATGAACAGGGTAGAACAACCATGCAACCATGAAATACACAGTTATGCTCGTAGGTAGGGCTTCAGTTGATCTTGAAGTAGAAGTAGGGCTGAATTCATTCAGTCTCTACAGTTTCTGAACTGCTGAATGGATTGTTCCAAGTCAGGTAGCATCCAAACATACTGAGTAGTTCCTGAACTTCTGAGGCCGCCAACAGGTGTTCTCGCAGGTGTGTGAAATTCTAGAGCAAATGGTTAGCCTTAGGACGTATTCAGACCAGTAATACACTGTGCCTGACAGCAAAATATTACCAAGTAAACAAGTAGATTTCTTTGTAACGTGAATGCCATAATTGTACTGTTAACTTCACAATCATTGCCAAGGTGGATAAAATGATGTTTTGCTTGCTTTAAAGGGAAAATCAAGGCCGACGCTAAAACTTAAAAGTGCACTAAAGTGGCGTAATCATGGACTTGCTAGACTTAAAAGCCAGTCAGAGAGCTGTGCCTCCCTGACATCTTCCACCATGAATTCAACATGCTGAGTTGGCCAAACTGCTACCGTGAGGTCTGCCTAGAGTAAGTAAGTAAACTGTCAGATACACTGTGTGGCAGAAACTATGGATGATAAATGGCCACAGACATTCAGAAATGACCCAGAGGTGGTTGGCAGTCAGCTTGGTGTGTCAGAGCCCTTAGGACCAATTTATGTTTCCTGCCTGTTATTCAGTGTATTGTCCCTGATGGGAAGTGCCCAATACATAACCCTAATGTCATACTTTCCACATTTACATGGATATGTTTAGTCTGGTATATCAGCACAGTCAATCTAAACCATGCTTTGTATTTTGAAAATGCAACACTGATTAGATTTTCCTTTGGAAAAACAACTGACTGAAATATTTTCTTTTGCTATAGCAAAGAATATCAGTCCTCACTGTAGTCAAGCCATTTCTCTCATCTTGCCCATTAACTGAGCATTCATACTACTGCTTGGCTAAACAGCTTCAAGATTTCATTTATTTGATTTAAAGATCTCTAGAGTTTGAACACAATGGACAAGATCAGTCTGGAGGAGCAACAGTTGAAAAACAGACCACTCCGCTGCACAATCCACTGTGAAAGTCTGATCCTCTGTGACCTCTGTGGAATATGCTGCTGCTGCTGTCTCATGTACCCATCAAAAGTCAAAATAACGGTAATAGTGCAGATCAAAGAAACTGGAGGCAAACAGTAGTTAACTATGTATTACACTGTGTTCTGATCTTGTATATTATGATTAGCATGTGGTTGGAATTGGGTCTGCATATGGTAGAGAAAGTTTGGATTGTACATGCACAGGCTATAGTTGACATGCACTGGATTTAGACATTAAAGACCTTAAAAGACATTTAAATCAACTCCTACTTTGCAACCTCAGAGATGTAAACTTCTTCATTAGTGTATCTGCCTTTGATGATGTATCCCCTCGAAACACACTGGAACAGTGGACCTTTGTACTGGTAAAACATTCCTGTGAGCCACAACACATACTGTAACCATACCTGATTACAAAAACACTGGACCACATGGATTCACTGTTTAGTTTTGCACTAATGCACAAATAATCTTTGACTGTGGGACTATATGCAATGTGAGGCGCAGTGTATGCTTGTATATTCACAATACTTAGTATACTGTCAACATTTTTAAATGTACTCAGAATGGCATGGTTCACAGTGAGCAGGAATTCTTTTTATGCAGTGAGGTAATGAAAAACATTAATCATGTCAGCTTGTATGTAGTTACCAAATAAACATAGCCTGTTGAGATACATTTTGATTAGAAAATGCCCGCTATAGGTTCTATGGATGTCAAGGAGTCAAAGAGAAATTATAGTATATAGTCACAGTGTGTATTAGTTAGCTGTAGAGGGTGGCTTGTTATGTATTTGGTAAATGACATTACATATGAATTAAATATTGCAGCTTTGTTTTATACATAAACTTGCAACAACGGAAAAATAAGCTGATTTACAGTCTTTTGTTGTGTAAAGAAAAGCCACTTTGTCTTTTTCCAGTAACACGAACCTCTAACAAGTGATTTCAAACAGAACTAGAACAGACCTCTGAAATGGAGTGGTCCCAGTCTCGCTAGAAAAGCGTGTGGGAGTTTGAAAGCTGAAGAATGAGGGTTTCGGTTGAATGCCGGGGAGCCACTGACTGCTTAACGATGACTGTTCTCCCCGGGGGCTGGTCCCCATGTTAGGGCAGACTATGGATCAGCTGGTCTGGGCTTCACGTGCATCTTAGCCCCACCCTCTTGTGCTACAATCCTCTTACTAACCTGCACGTCATCCACTGCATGCTGCCTGACAGGTGGCAGCCACATTGTTCATGCTATTGTGCTATAGACAAACTTTTTAAGTCTCAGCCATGTGAGTCCCATTGACTCAACCACTGGTCACATGCGTTTAAAGAGGCTAAACTTGGACAGTCTGCTGACATATCATTCTAGTGATTCCTATGGCCTGACAGACAGTATTGATAGTAGTGATTGTCACACAGATATACCAAACATCTACTTACTAATGAATTACAAGAGTTGGAAAAAGTTAGACTGTATGATGGATGGTTCATTTACCCTGGTGCACATAAGTATGTCAGCTTCAATTTAGTTACAAAAACACTGTGGCACTGGTTAAGGGTGGGAATCACAGAGTAACTCACGATACTACCACAATACGTTACACATGATAACGATGGTACGATACACTCCTCATCATGAAGCCTGCGTGTGTTTATGCCCAGGTGTGTGTCTGAAAGACCTGCTCTCTCCTGGCTGTGGACACAGCGCTGGTCTGGCAGTGTGTGTGTGTGTGGGGCCTTAATGTCACATTGTCTTTATTGATTTTATTTGTGCCATGAGTGTTATAAAAGCTGAGGAGGGCACAGCCTCTCGACTTGAAAGAATCACCTCTGTGATTTGTTTCCTCCCGCTTTCCGCGCTGTCTGCTATCTTCCCTCTGTCAGTTTCTTCTTCTTCTTCACCGTAAGTTTATCATGGTTCATGAGGCGGCATGAAGTAGTGACTCTGCTAAGTCATATTAGAGTCCACAAGAGGAAATAATACAGTGCTGGTAGGGCTGTTCCCGAAATT